CTAGTTGGGCATGATAGCTCATGCCTGTAATCCCAGCACTTTGGGAGGCCGAGGTGGGTGGATTACCTGAGCTCAGGAGTTCCAGATCGCCCTGGGCAATACGGCAAAACCCTGTCTCTGCAGAATTTAAAAGAAAAAAAAAAAATCCTTACATATAATTATTTGCATGTCTTATAGACATATGAAGGAAAAAATAAATTACTATAGGTAGAATGGCTGGAACAAAGTGTATGTGCATTTTTAATTTTAACGAGCATTGCCAGATTCTCTCCAGAAAGCCTCTATCACTTTATCCACCTCACTAATAGTGTAAAAGAAGTCTCCGATTCCCCATATTTTTCATACAGGTGATGTAATATAGAGACTTGAGAACCATCACATTAGGTTATATATGATTCATTAAAGTTTGAAAATTAATAATGACATGTTGCCTGTGTATGTCCAGTTTTATTACTAGACATAAGGTCAAAGTAGGCATTTTAGGCTTCTTGTCTGAAGAAAAGAAGAGTGTTATTATTAAGCTGTTATACCTTAAACATCAAACCCAGATATGTTACAAATTCTGTTTCTACTCAATGGAAGATTCTTCACTCAACTCAAATTCACCTATGTTAACACTGATTTTTGGCAAAAGACTTTGCTTTTATCTCTATGCTCTCTATCCTAAAGGTAGAGTCTTTAGTAAGCATGTGTTTTTATTTTTATTGTTTAGAGAAGAGGTCTCCTTTGTCGCTCGGGCTGGACTCCCAACTCCTGGGCTCAAGTGATCCTCCTGCCTCAGCCTCTCAAGTAACTGTGACTGCAGACATGTGCCAGCACACTCAGCTAAGCACTTCAAGTACAGATAAGGCATTAAGAGAGAAGCAAAACTAATATGTGACAAGAGGCAGTTTAGAAATAGAAGAATTTTGTGGAGAATAATCCCAATTTAAGACCAAGATATTTATATAATGCTTTAATTCCAATGTAACCTAATTATTTAATAATGACAACCTTTTCTTCAGACAAGAAGCTTAAAATGTCCTACTTCAACCTCAACTCTAGGTGAAGTCAACAAACAAGACACCATTTTCCTTAGGTTACCTTATTTGGCAGGGTATTAAAGCAATAACACACTAGCGCTATTCTCCTGCCTCAGCCTCCTGAGTAGCTGGGATTACAGGCATGTGCCACCACACCTGGCTAATTTTGTATTTTTAGTAGAGACAGGGTTTCTCCATGTTGGTCAGGCTGGTTTCAAACTCCCATCCTCAGGTGGTCTGCCCGTCTCGGCCTCCCAAAGTGCTGGGATTACAGGAGTGAGCCACTGCGCCTAGCCTCTAATTTTAATTTTTAAGTTGTTTATTATTATTTATTTTAATCACAAAGAAGCAATTCATGAGGATCCACAAGAACAGGCAGTACTCCTTAACCACTAAAAGTAAAATAACAAACAATTTTCTTTATATATTGCGTGGGAGAAAGTCTCTAGTTACACAACAAAACCACCGCTCTAAATACACTCACTTCAACAACAACAATAAAAACACACTGAAATTACAACCAAGTGATACGATGTCACATGCACACCACACTGACCACAGAGTCTGGCACTAATTACAAAGATGTTACTTACTACATCATTTTCCAAAGCCTCAAGTTCCTCATTGGCTGTGAGTTCACCTGCATCCCAGGGCTCCAGGTCCTTCTCTTTGTGTTCGCCATTCACTTTAGCACTGATAGCAGAGTCAGTAAAAGCATCTGTAAAGAATGGTTTTGGTTGAAAGTTCATATAATCGGACAATTAGCTACACTCACACACATGAATGACCAACAAAGACATATGTTAAAAAACAATTATGAAAAGTGAATTTCACATAATTGTTTAACTTAAAATCTAACAGAAACATTTATTCAACATAATTTTTTAGGCTGATGGAAACAAAAGACAAATGTACTAAAATAAAGGTAAACTTGGCCAGGCTCACACCTATAATCCCAGCACTTTGGGAGGCTGAGGCGGACAGATCACAAGCTGAAGAGATAGAGAACATCCCGGAAAATATGGTGAAACCCCATCTCTACTAAAAATACAAAAATTAGCCAGGCATGGTTGCGTATGCCTATAGTCCCAGCTACTCAAGAGGCTGAGGCAGGGGAATCACTTGATCCCAGGAGGCGGGGTTGCAGTGAGCCGAGATCACGCCATTGCACTCCAGCCTGGCAACAGAGCAAGACTCTATCTCAAAAAATAAAAAATAAAGGTAAACATAAAACTTATGTACGTCAAGATAAACTGCTATCTAAACTGATACGAAGAGCAACATTCAGTAAAAGTATGCTTTCACATTTAATTTAGTAAATAGAATCATAGATGACTATTAGTAAAGGCATTTTCTTCTCATATAATTTTAAGCCACATGAAGCATATTTTAATGTATTGACATAATTCATTAAATTACATTATAGGTAATTATTCAGCCAAGTGACCAAGAAAATTTCTATCAATTTATCTAAAATCTCTTTTTTTTGTTTTTCTTTTTTGAGACAGAGTCTTGCTTTTTTGCCCAGGCTGGAGTGCAATAGCGCCATGTCAGCTCACTGCAACCACTGCCTTCCGGGTTCAAGCAATTTTCCTGCCTCAGCCTCCTGAGTAGCTG